GTATATCTTTTTTATTACCCAATAATCTTTTAAAAAATTTAAAATATTTTGAGCAATTTAATCGTTTATTGAATATTAGGTACTTTGGTTTTATAGCTTTACTCACTAAGACGCTTGTTGAGAAAATGTTAGAAAATTACCAATAAATTTAAAATTTATTATAGTTACATCTCTTAATCTCAGATAATATCGTGTATAGGCGTCTGTATTTAAAAAATCTGACACATTTGATCAAAAACATGTGATGATAAAAATTCTCCGATTACTTGTCATTATAACTAATATTAATATTAAACGATACAAGAAAGAATTTCTTGAACTTTTATAAAAATTAAATGTGTGGGGTGGTAATAGATGTAAAACAAATATTTTTACAAAGACTATCTAACAAAGAAACATTTAAAAATAATTTTATTCATTTGTGAATAAGAAGCTTCATTAAAATCCGACAATTATTTGATTTTTAGAAGAATTTCCAAATCAATGTGGTTTTCACTGCAAAAAACAAACAAAATAAAAGCGCTCAAATTTCCTGCAAAAGAAAAAAAAAATTAAAAAATTAGAAACAAAAAATAAAAGATTTTAACTAAAATTTCCAAGGTTCTAAAAAAGCTAAAAAAAATCAATATAAAAAAATGACATTTGATTTTTTCTCTTAACAATAAATAACGTAAAGATTTTGACGATAAATTTTGTTTATTATGTTTTGGGCATTTTTATACCATGTATCCTAGCTTTTTAGCGAATTTTTGGTGGCACCTACGTATATCTAAAACCCGACATTTTAAAACAATAAATTACGAGTATCCACTATAATAATGTTTGAAGTTAAATATCTCTCTCTCTCTCTCTCTCTCTCTCTCTCTATCTATATATATATATATATATATATATATATATATATATATATATATATATATGTATATAAGGTGTATTTAAGGAGCAAGAATGTTTTGTTGAATACTGACAAAGTCTATTTGTTCAATTTTTTAAGGTTTTCCAACTTCCAACTAAGTTCTTTTATATAATTGGTAAGCTTTCCAAAGTTCATTTTTGTTTTTTATTAATCCGAATATTTTCGACTCTCACTTCAGCTTTTATCAAGCATTGCGTTAAACACTTTGGTCTGTCACGTGGTATGACGTCATATAACCGCATCTTGAACTTACCATCTGAGTCTGCTATTCCGTGACCGTTATCGTCGCATAACAATTTTCTATGTCAAAATAACAAAACGGTGAATATCTTTGTTTCATGTCTGTATAACCACTCTGAGGATGGTTCATCTGAGCCGAAAGATCAGGACCAACTTAAAAAATATCCAAATGTTGGACAATTTTTGTTTTTACTTTAACCAGAAATTAAAGCAAACATTCAAACATTAGAACGGCTCATGATCAGACATAATACAGGTATTCATTGACTGTTATATTTAATAATATATGTTTAAAACACAAACACACACACACACACACACACACATATATATATATATATATATATATATATATATATATATATCAAGGGGGTAATCGGGCCTGAACGTTGAAACAAACTGTCGCCGCTTGGTGTTTGACGTTCACCTCAGTGTCCACTTTTATATTTATGTACGCATTATCTCTGCCATAAATATAGCATGCCTTAAAACTAAATTTTCATCATTCATATTTACATATAATTTATATATATATATATATATATATATATATATATATATATATATATATATATATATATATATAAAAAATAAAAAAAAAAATTAGAGCGATGAAAGTTTTCCTTAAAAATAACAAGGTAAATAATTTGTTCACTTAAATCTAAATAATTTCACTTCTCTCCTTCCGTAGAATAAATTATCCTCACGTAAGCTGTCAATACGTCATGAAATTGTCTTTCGTCACCTGTAAACTGACACGAAATGTTACGACCTGCTTTCTTTTATTTTCAAACTGCATTTTTTCGGCGCAGAAACTAAGTAATGCTTGTTTCAAAATATTTTAAATAAACATTATAATTTCTGATATTTTTAAAATAAGTTTTGATAAAATTTGATATAATTGATTATTAAAAGAATTTCAAACTGAGATTTTCATTTTTTTATAAGATGGAAAAAATGGGTGATATGATTGATTATCTGTTAATTTTGCTTATTAAAAAAAAACAAGATTTTTTGGACGTGCTAGGAACGATTAAAAAAATGTAAAAAAAAATACCCCCAAAATACTTTGATCTTTCCTCTTAATAATAATATAAACATTTAGACAATAAAGTCTATGCTCTATTTTTAGCCGTCTCACGGAGGTACCTTAGTAGAACAACGAAACTTTAAGTTGCATTTCGAACGTAGGTATATGTTAATTTATTAATATATGTGTGTGTGTGTGCGTGCGTGCGCGCGCGTAAAGAAAATAAATCATGAAATATACGGACTATTGAAAATATTTTTAAGAAAGGTTTTAGCGCTAAAAATGCCACAAATTAGGCAACACCTATTTCTATCAAGCGCGTTACTTAGAGCGATTATTTCGCCACATGTAATGAGCAGTCTTAACAATAATATCGGTGACAAAAAATTGATAACGTGTATAAAAGTTTTGCGAAATGATTGGATAATTTTTAAAATGCAAATCTAAAAAGTTTCTTTTGAGAAATAGAAAGTAGAAAGAAAGCATAAATAAATAAATAAATAAATAAATAAAACATTAATTTTCCGTCTCATTGTTGCGTCAAGAAAAACTGAAACTTATTTCAAACGTCAATAATCTCTAATAAGTGAAAAGAGATTTTGGCGATCAGTTTTGTTTTTTCTTTTCATTTTTTAAATCTTACATTGATCTTTGCACAATATCAGATGAAATTAAAGCAGAGAATATTTTCGGTCAATTTATTTCAATTCAAATGATTCAGTTAAATGAAACTTTATTTTGCTTTTCAGACCTATTTATTCATTTAATAAAATGTTGCAATTTTGAGAAGACATTGTTCGACCCATTCGTATATAATCATTCGTATAATTGCTTTTATTGACACAGCGTTTCGGTCAAGCTATTCTTCGGCCATTTCGGGTGTAATTTTTTCTCTCATAGATTACATTTGACGGAAGTTAAAGAATTGATTAGTAGAAACATTGTGTTAATAACAGATTTACGAAGAAAGTTCAACTGATCAAAGAGTTTGGGTTCGGATTTTATTTTAATAATTTATTTAATAAGTGTAAAAATAATATGAATAAATAAACTAATCCTTATGTACGGCCAATGGACATTGCAATGTTCTTTTTTCTTAAAAAACAAATTCGAAAATTAAAATATGCATGATCGGTCACGTGGCAAAACGACCGGTTTAATAAAGATAATGAAAATATTGATCTTTTTACGCCTTATTTAAAGTCAGTGCCTCTGTTTGGATTGTAAGGATAACTGTTTATTATATTAACATATTTTTGAGATAATGATTTTTCCAGATACAAGTCCTATTATTTAACCCGAAGTAGGGGTGCGGTGGAGAAGTGATGGATTCATACCTTTCCCAAGTAAGTGAGTGTAACGAACCCGACTGGAATTCGAACTTGATTCTCCGATTTTTCATTCCCAACGATCACAAAAAAGCGTTTTTATATTTCCCAATGAATATTAGTGGATTTTCGACACAATTTTTTAAGTTTTGTAAAATTCAATTTAAAGTTGTTTATTTATCACGTGAGTAAACTAGGATTTTGCCATTTCATGGTGCAGTGTGGTGGTGGTCAATTCCAGATTGAGTGAAATATGCAAAAAGAAACCTGCTGAACAGCAATGGAAAGCAGTTAAGTTTCCCAATTCCTGATTTTTGAGTTCGATTCTCGCTGGGTGTCCACTACTGAGTCTTTTTAACTTGTGGCCCGTTGTATACAAGAAAAAAATCAATTTCTCTCAGTTTAGGAAAATATTTTTGTTAAACGATATTTATCGCATATCCTGACACTATTTTTTCTGAAAATCAACTTTGAAAAAATACCCCGCGTCTTGGTGGTCGAAACCTATTTCGAGAGAAAATGCCTTGAGACAATTTGCCAATAGTTTACACATTTCAAGGGCGTGTCTTTGATGCCAAGAGGAATTACATTAATATTTGATAAATTTTATTAAGTTTGCATTTATCAGGTTTCTTCAAGGACTTTCTAAAACTCGCATTTTACATAATTTAAATTGTTTCTTTGAAGTTAAATTATGGTTTTATTTGAAAGCTGACAGTTAATCTGTAAAAAAAGAAAAAATATTTTACGTCCTTAAATATAGATTTTTGACTTTTTTTAAAAAGTAAAAACAAATTCTCTTCTGTCCAGTTCATTTAGCGAAGTTAATGAAGACTGGCAAAAGAGAAATTAAAAACTTTAAAAATTTAGTATCGGTTCCAGACATTTTTTCTTTCAAAAAAAAATAGTAAGTTTAAGGATTAATTAATTAGATTTTGTAAAAATATAGCTTACTTTTTGCAAGAAATATAACAAAAATACATTTTTTAGCAAGATATGTCCTCACTTGTCAACATATTCGTAGTTCAAACAACTGTTATCTTTCAACCATGTTCCTACTTTTAAAAAGTCGCGCCATAAATCAAATATGGACGCCCAACTTTGTGGAAATATTTTTAGATCAGTTACAATCCCTTAACCAAGTGATTTTTTTGGCTTTACTGTATTTCTAACATTATTATTACACTAAGACTTTATTAAACAGACAAAAATATTATCAGCATCACCAGATTAGTCAAAACTTTAAATAATTTTGATGGTTCTAAAAAGAGTGTTTTTTTTTATGTCAACAATGAAAATCAAATATAAAATTTTGAATTATGTCCAATTCAAAATTTTATCAGAAACGACCAAGATTTGAAAGAGTTTTAAAGTCGTACTGTAAATACATGTCAAAATACATGTCATGTTTTCACAAATATATCAGATCCAAGAAAATCACATTTCGGCATTAAATGACCCATGAAGGAGTTGATATACCGATAAGCAAACAAATCAAATCAAATATCTATCTATCTATCTATCTATCTATCTATCTCTCTATCTATCTATCTATCTATCTATCTATCTATCTATAATTGAACCCCTTTCAAGTTTGACTAGAGAAAGTTAGCATGTTTTTTTTCGTCGATTGCCGAAGCAGCTAAGTTAAATATGGGAGAGTGCTTTTCCCCAACTGTTTACTCACCCACTCTCTTCTTCATCAATCATCATATGCAATAGGACCGAAACAAGTAAGTTCATGCCTTTCCAAAGAGCCTTAATGTCGGTTTGTTGAATTAATTTTTCGTAAGAGAAACAAAGGAAAGCAACGCTCAACCCTAACCCTGGCGAGTTTGAGTGAATTGATGGCGGAGAAGGGTTTGGGAGAGATGGTAAAAAGACAAAATTTATTAAAAGCTATAAAGAACAGGAAATTGTAGAGAGCTATGTTCGCAAACGTACTGAAGGGACACGGCACATAAAAAGAAGAATGAGTTGTGTAAATGGATGGCAGAAACAGGGTTTAGGAGAAATAACAGAAAGACAAAATTTATTAAGAGCTACAAAGGACATAAAATTGTGGAGAGCTATGATCGTCAATGTCCTGAAGGGACACGGCACATACTTAAAGAACCTTCACTTCCCATAATATGCACACGATGATGGATCAGAAAGTCCGTATCCTGACACGTAGGCATTAGCCGAATTTGGATCCGAAATGTTATTTGTATAATAATTTGACCTACGTAGTTAATATTAACCGTGGAATTAAGTGCATTGACAAAGGAAGAGATTATACTGGAAAATAAGTAATTGCTGTGTAAAATAAATGTATTTTTTTTATCTCGGACGAACTTTCTGATGTACTTCTGTGTTGTGGTGGGGGTGGAATATTTTTTAATGAAAATGCCTTTGAATTTGGTAAATCCCGGAATAGAATATAATGTAACAACCGACAGAAAACATTTCTGTTAAGTTTCAACAAAATAATTTCCCTTTGCATAAAACACTCACTCAGTCAGTTAAGTGCCTTACGTGATATACGCTTGGGCGATCATGTCTCTTTCGATACAACACTGAAAAGGCAGAAGATTTCCCCGCAGTGGGCTGCAATTTCTTGCTGCGGTAGACTGGTTGCCAACCAAGGCTTAAGAACCCACTTTGTCCTGCTATTCAACCCATAGCTGGGAGGAGAAGAGATGGATTCATATTTGCGCGTAAGTGAATCTAACGAACTAGGCTGGAATTGGAGCCGATATCCATTACACCACAACAAAATGGAATTTACCATCTGTTATTTTGAATCGATTAATACTCGTCTTTTGTCTTTGAGAATATCAATTCTTAAGATATTTATATTTTTTAAATATCCCAAGGCAATTAAAAAAAAAAAAAAACATTTAAATAAATTTTTATATAAAATCCCGGAAAAATCTTTGGTGATATAAACATTCGATTGTATTGATTTTTAGAAGGTACCGTCACGAATTTCATATAAATACGAAAAATGCATTTTAAATAATTCAAATGTTTTCTTTGAAGTTACATTTTAGTTTTATTTGAAAGATAATACCCTAAACTTAACCCATAAAAAATAAAAATAAAATTATATATGTAAATAAATTTTTCAGAGATTTTAAAACATTGATACGGCCTGTTATTACTCATTGAATCTCCATTATAGACAACAAATGAAAACAACAAATTTAAAAATCTCTTTGAATTTCAATATTTGTCCTAGAGATTTGTTTCAAAGAAAATTAATAAATTTAAAGATTAATTAACTACATTTTGTAAAAGTTTTGTTTACTTTTGCTTAAAACACAGCGAAAATAACGGTTATTTACGCGTTCATGAGCAGGCAACAAGGTCACAGGTCAACAACTGCAGTTTTCTACTTTCACACCCAAAGCGCGCGTAATCTTCTCTTTCACCCCAAAGCGTGCGTAGAATTTTTAAAAGTATGAAATATTAAAAAAGACTACAATCTATAAATTGGAATTATTTATGTTTCAAAATAAATTATTTTTAACATTATATAATCAATATTTTAAGAATATTTTTTAAACTCTATACACTTTTATGAAACTTAATAGAATTAATTTTATTTTTATACTACATTAAAAGTATAAAAAGAAATTACTTAAAAAATAGTTAATTGATACTTTTGAATTTAATACAATGCTTTTATTTTTTATCATTTTCTTACCTGTTTGATGTTGTAAAATATTTGATTGCACACAATGAAATCTTTTTCAATTACTTTGATTTTAAAATTTATTAACCTAAAGGAAGTGCTAGAAAAGAGAAACACAGATAAAGACTAGTTCAATTGATACTGTTAATTGATTTCAGTTATATATTTCCGTTGTGAACTTCTGTACAAAAAATAATATAACAATTGTAAAAATGAAAAAAAAATCTTTTAAAAATGATCACACTTTAAAATGGCATTAGACATTTTCCGAGTGTTCCAAAATGTCTTCATTTAATAAAAACATTCTTGCTACGAACCGCAGCGAAGTGAATTTCAAAGCCGCACTGAAAAATTACAAGTAATTAAAAAAATATTCATTGTAGATTTTTATTTCCTCTCAAATATGAAATAATACGTTTTATTACATTTCTGTAAGCACCAACACTGAAAAAAGATTTCTTTTGAATATTATTGAATCATTTTTGATAAGGTTCAGGGCGAATTTTCTGTATGTTCATATCTGATATTGCATAATTTTTTTTTACTGAAATAAAAACTTCAGGAATTTTTCTTTAAATAACTGTAAATAAAAGAATTTCGCAAACAACTACACCAACCTAAAAGGAACACATGAGATATAGAAAATGGAAGTTTAAGTTGATCCCAAAATATATTTTCTCAAAGTTTTCTAATATAATAACCTATGCAGTATACAATTAATACATTAGTCAATAAGCCCTGAAACCGTTTACATCGGATAACTTTCTGATATTTGGCAGTTAAAAAAAAAAAACAGTGTGTACCGCTTTTTTGTTTCTTTTCGGAAAACACGCACGCATTCATTTTGGTTGTACCTAATTTGTAGAAACCAGGTTTACTGGGATAATTATTTCTTTGATGATTATCGCCAATGTTGAAGCCCGGGTAAATATTTCAAAAATCCTGATTTTCACGTCAGGTCGGCCGGCCCTATCCACTTGGAAGATTTGTACAACATGATCTTCCTACCCCATCCGCACATTCGCATATGGGACTCAATAAAACTTCGTAAATATTCAACTGGCCTGATCGATTATAGAGTTTTTTTCGTTTACCAGCCACGCTGACCACAGATTGATTTTAGTAACCAAAGCTTCACGGCTTTGGCAGTTTGAAGAATTGTTTTCACGATGCTAATGGCGTTGTTTGTAGGAGGGAAGAGAATGAAATCAATAATAAGAAGACATAATAAATCAATAAAATCTCTAGCCGGGAATAGACGGCAGTCACGCGCATTCCTGCCAGATAGAAAAATTTACATTTGCCACACCACGATTTGTAAAGTTAGTGCCATTCTACTGTGGGGCGACTACGTCTGATTTTGGCAATATTATACAAGCAAACTCTTCGCAAAAGTCTCCTCATACGAAATATTTTCGTCATTCCAAAGATTTTCCAATTAACATTAGGGTGTATCAAAAATATTTTCTTTTTTGTATAGATCTTTACTTCAAAGTTTATTTTATGTACACATGTAAAAACTATTTATAACTCCACTATACTATTTTTTCTTTGATTTCTGTTGTATACACATTTCCTTCTGGGTCCCAACCAGAGATCTAAGGTCAGAAATGGCTTCATGACATTTTCCACTAAGCATTTTTGTAAAATAAAAGATAACCCAAAATCATACATATTTTACATAGATAAAATTCTTCGTAATGTGTGAGCAGTTCTTGTGGGTTCAATCTTTTGTATTTCTTTAAGGTATTATTATTATTATTATTATTATTGTTATTATTATTACAACTCTTAAAGAAGGGCGTCATATAAGAAAAGAAAAACAGTGCGTAACAATATTTCAATAGTATGTCGTCTTCAAGTTATTTTAAAAAATGCATACAAATATGAAAAATATAAAAAAAATACAAATCTTTGTACAAACGTCGCTTATCTTGAGATAAAGGGTCGTAGTGGTAATCAACGTGACAAAACCAATGAAATACAACCAGCGCGAATAGAATGCAACTGAAACATGAGTAACATGATTGGGTTGTGAAATTAATCAAATAGCTTCTTTAAATTAATTACATTATTCGGACTGTTATCCTCATCTTCATTTCCGGGCTTCAGCTTGAAGAGTTCATAATTGAGTATTGTATTCAGTGTGGTAGCATATTCGTATAGACATGGCATTGACTATACTAAATTTTAACTTAATATAAGTCGGAGTAACCACTAGCAGGTGGAATATCAGACTTTATTAATGAGGGTTATTCCATTTTAAAAATTATTATTATTATTTAATTCACGTCACTATAGTGCGGCTCGGAATTTTGCTGAAACTGAGAAGTATCTTCTGTGTTGTAGGACGTAGGCGATCATGACTCTTCACGATTTCCTGTCCATTGTAGCTCTTAATAAATTCTGTTATTTTGTATTTCTCCTAAACCCTGTTCACCATCTTTTACTTACGCTCACTATGTATCTTACGCGTTGCTTTCCTCTGTCTCTCTTGCCTTCAATCTGCCCTGTGAGTATCAAATTTTCCAAGCTCTCTTTCTTCTTTATCTGCCCTAGGAAGTTCAACTGTCTCCTGGTGTTAACTATAAGTTTTCCTTTTTGTTACCATTTTCTCTAAAACTTCGTCGTTGCTCGCATAATCAGTCCATGTTATTGTGAGCATCCTTCTGTAGAACCACATTTCTGTTGCTTCAAGTCTTTTCTTCCTCTTTGAGGAGATAGTCCAGCACTCACTGCCATGTCATGGGAGAAATATAACGAAGACTAAATTTGGCTTCTTGGTCTCAATTTATGCTAATGTTATTGAGCATTTTGTCTTTAAATGATTACTGCTATTAATTTTCAGAATAGGAAAAAAAAAATTTCCGTTTTTTTTTTTTTTTCCAAAACATTATC